CACATCACCAGGTCCAAGCCTAAGTAGGAGTCTTTCTTTTCATATGATCAGGGCCGTACCTGTGCTTCGTGGGACCTGAGGCGAACTTCGAAATTTGGGCCCTAGGCCCTAAGTCATAGCAAACAATCCCTTTTAAAAAAAAATAAAATAAAAAATTAGAAGTTTACGGAATTAAATTTGTTAACTTAAATCAACAATAAAATAACAAATAAATTTTTCGATGTTCCTTCCTTCTCTTTTCATTAAAGTATTTATTCGTTTTTTTTGAATGCATAAGCATAGTGGGTTTAAAAAAAAAAGGGCCCCCCTAAAATTCTAGGCCTGACGCGGAGGCCTCTTGGGTCTCCCATCAGATCCGGCTCTGCATATGATTGTAAGTGAAAATTACTCCACACCCCCGCTTTAAAAATTCAGTATTCTAAAATCAGGTTAGATGTTTCATTATTCAAAAATCAGAAATTTTATTTTAATCAATATTTTTATAAAATAAGAATTTTATTAAATATATGTACTCCAATTTTCATCCCAAACGCTAATCAATTTCCCCATCATTTCTCTCTATATCTTGCTTATTCCCTTTCTCTCTCTTTATCCCCATGCTGTTGTCGCCCCTCACACTAAGATCTAGATGTCATAACAGTTGATGGTGCGGCCACTCATGACGCCTGCCGCCGATAGTGACTACCTCCATTCCCAGCAACCACTTTCCCGATGCCACAACTTTGACGTCGTTATGTTGAAAAAGTATTGTCGTTCTTCTATGGTGTTTTGAAGTGGTTTTGAAGGTGATTTGTAGCATACTTTGTGGTGGTTTTCTCGGTGGTAGTACAGGCGGTGTTAGTGTGCGATAGTGGCAACGAGTTCGTGGATTTTTTTCGTAGGGTGGTGGTGTTGTGTAGATGGAGATAGAGGAGATGTCTGTAGCGGTGGTGGTGGATGTGGGCTGTGTCCGGAGTGGGGGTGTGGTATTTTTGTGGGTGCCGTGGTGGCGAGGCAACGGTTTTGGAGGAGCAATGATTTTCATGCGATAGTGTTACATAGATTGTGGATCTGGTAGTGGGTGGCTTTTAGCGATGAAGGTGGTATTAGCTTGGTGGTGGATCTGGTTGTGGGATGGCTTTTGACGGTGGAGGTGGTGGTGAATCTGGCATGGATGTGCTGATGGGTGGTGGTTTTGTAGTTGAAAATGGTGGTTTGTTGGTGGTTGTGGTGACGAGATGGCTGTAGATCCGACGTGACAATTTGGTAGTGTTAGATTTGTTGTAGGTTATGGTGGCTCTGACGACGAAGGCGACAGTTGTGCTGTTGGGGGTAATGGTGAAGTGGTGGTCACAAGCGTTGGTGGTGGCCATAAATTATTTAGTTGATTGTAACCATTAAATTGGTTAATCTGCTATTAATTAGAAAGACGAGTTGTGACTAATAAATAACGTGTGACCTAATTAATTTGTGATCGATACTTTGATAATTTGTAACTGTCTAATAAGTTGTGACTCGTAATGTTCGTCATCTGTGGTCGATGAACAAATTGTGATCTATAAAATTTTTAAATTGTGACCATAAAATAATTGGACAAATAAAAATTCTGAATTGTGACCGAAAAATAATATGTATTAAATTGTTGATTTGTGACCAAATTGTATCGCTATGTGACCTTAATATATTTAATTAATAAAATATATAATTAATTAATTAAATCATAAATAAAATTTAATAAACATCTTATAATTGAAATTTGAAACATTTATTCTTAGTTTTGAAATAGGTGATTGTTAACCTTTTAATTATGAATTTTTCCCCAATTTTAATTCAATTTCAATTATACACTTTTCCAACATGCAAAGCCAATTATTTTCCTTCCTTTTTTATTTGATCCAAGCCGACTTAATGTAATATATCTCTCCAAGGCTTCACTTTTCCCAAATAATGCAATTTAGTTCTTGAGTCCATTTATTTGTGCATCCCATGTGCTCTTTAATTTCAATTCAAATCCTATAGTGTAGAATATAGTCAATTGATCATTTATTCTTTTTCAATTAGTTCAAACGAGTCCATCAATACCAAAAAAATAAAATAAATAAATAAATAAAAATAGAGAATTAACCCAAGTTAAGTAGAAATTAATAATCTGATGATATAAAAGTTTAGTTATATGACTCGAATAAGTGCACAAAATGCACTCATCACTTACTGTCCAGTTGTTAGGCACAAGGACCATACGTGGTTGGCCAATCACATGCCTTGTTGTAAATCACATGGACTATATATAAAAATATCTAAGTTTTTAAAAATAAATCTTACAACGAAATTTCTTACAAATATAAATTTTATTTTAATTCAGATTTAAATGGATGATGATTGGTACGATCATTCATATTAGTGCTCAACCCACTTTTGTTGTGCACTTTGGTTTTGAGATCCATTAGGTAACATTTATTGTGGTTTAAATTATGAAAGATGATTGGTGGTTCACTTAGAGATGACAATTTGAATCGTCAAAATTGAAAATTGCGGTTAACCGAATCGAATGGGGCAAAAAAATCGAATCGATGGTGCAATGAGGCGGATATGATTTTTATTTTAATGAACCGGTTCTTGGCGGTGCGGGTATGGTATTTACGCCGTCGAACCGAAACCGAACCGATTACTCGCTAAAAAAAAAAAAAATTGAATTGATTATTGGGCTTTACACTACTTTTCTATCTAACCCAAAACAAAATCTCCCCTCCCCCCAATTACATTTACATGACTCAACCGGCCAACCCACTTATCATTAGCTCATAATAATAGTATTAGTATGACATTATATAAATGCAAACCCTACTCTCGACAAACCACAAACTCAAGCACGGCTCCTTTTATTGTTAATTTTTTTCTATTGTGTGTAGAAAATTCTACTTCTTCATTATACTCTAGAGTGTGTACAACGTTTAGCGAGAAGAAAGCTTACGAAGAGGTATATTTTTTTTTATTTAAATCTTAGTTAAAATCATTCTAGAATAGGTAGTATCCTTGTATTCTCTACTTACATTTTTTATTTACTATATAAGAATCAATTTTGAGTGTTGATTTATGCTAGTAAGATTTGTGAGGAAGAATGAATCAAGTAATTTCGATGCACAATAATTAAGAATGAAGGAAAAGTTTAGTATTGTTATATTTATAATATTATTTGTTAAATTTGTATTTTACAATTGAAAATTGGGATAATGTTTGCTTTTTCGTTTGAAATATTGTTTGATAATGTTTGCATTTTCATTTAAAATATTGTGTTTTTGTTTTCATTGACTTTTTTCATAAATTGTTTTATATCAATTTGATGGATGAATCTATAAAAAATAATTTATTTTCGTGGTTATTAACCGAACCGAACTGTGCCGAACCGAACCGAATCGATTTACATGATTATGGTGCGGTTATGGTATGGTCAAAAAATTAGTGGCGCGGTTATAGTTTTGACCGAACCGATCCATAATCGAACCGTTGCCAACCCTAGGTTGACTTACTCGAGAGGAACTACGAACATTGAGATACAGAAGTACATATATTAATTAACAAGATCAACACAAAAAGTAGTATCATTGACATACATAATGTTAGTGGAGGTTTAACTATTCGAAAATTTATTTTATTATTATATTCATTTATTCACATCAAGTGGGATTCACTTGAAATCAAATAAAATTTTAAATGATTCCACGTTGATATCATTGGAAAATAAATTCGACTGTACATTCTACTTCGTGTAGTCATCTCTGACTCGATTGTTTGAATTAACTGTTTATCGATTTCAGTTTGATAGATACGTTTCGAAGTATGATGTGAGTATTTTGAAATATATATATATATGTACTATATTGGATTTGAATCAGATTTCGGATCAATGTATATTTGACTGCATCCATTATGTTGTTGCTAGCAAATACCACTATTTTTGGTTTTGGATCTTCCGAATCATTCTCGCAGGAGATCTGGACCTCATTCGCTCCCCTAGCTTTCATCTCTCAGTGTCAATATCGGCCCAGCAGAGTGCTTTAGCATTTGGTGTTCTTCCGATATCTACACGTTTCACCGCTCCATCGGAAATTCCCTCTATCCCTACTGTACATAAAATTTCGATATGACATGCTTGGGATTCGAACCCGGAACTAGTCGGATACACACACGCGCACACACACACACCCCCACCCCATGAGTGCTTCACAATGATATAAAGGACATTTTGTTGGAACATATAATTGAAGAATAAAATTTTATATACAAATATATGCTTGTACATGTTACTGTGTGCCTATATGACAAATTGAATCACGAACCGATTTGTGCGAAGATTCAACCATAAATTCTTATTATTATCTTAAAAATGAAATTGAATTGAAATTTTATGCGCAGGTCTACCTATTGATATTACCAATTATGTGGCCGGGTCATTTTACAGCTTGAGCCAAACGTCAGGGACCAATATACAATATAAACTCTTCGATTTGGAATTCCCGTATGGATATAAGGGTGTTAAATGGGACAAGCCGAATCGCTCGATTCACCTATGTTGAGCTCGGCTAGTTCAACTGAAGTTTAGATCGACTTATCCCACAAGCTTGACCCATAGTGTGACCAGTCAAATCAGCTCACTAGTCGCTAGCAGTCTGTCGATAATTTTCTTTTAATTTTTAACAAAATTACATTTTTATTAAATATGACGAGTTGAAATGCGAACCGATTTGTGCGAGCAGACGAACGACTCGTAAAATTGTCCCACTCCTTGTCCCTACCTTCGTACGGTCATCACCATCCCATATCTCAATGCTATTTATGGGGGAGAGAGTGGTAAAAGGGTAAATTGTAGAAAGAAGCAGGCAGCCAGCGAGTACCAGTTCTGAAGAAGATACGAGGAGAGGGGTCAGATAGAAATATAGATAGATATTTAGAGATCAAAAATATCTTGATAAAGCTTCCACGTTGGCACTCCTTTTAGTATCAATTTTGCACTTTTTCATACCCTTTTATTCATTTATTTATTTTCCTCAATAACACCTCATTCATTTCTTTACCAAGCTCTTTCCCTAAATAATTTCCCCTCTTTCGAATCTAACAATTCGCTCGATTCGATTCTTCAATTTTCAGAAAAAAAATCACTTAATTCATTAATTCCATGGGGGAGGAAGTTACAATTGACGGAGTTGAGGATAGGATGGCGGAGTGGGAGACCGGCTTGCCGACCGTCGACGATCTGACACCGTTGTCGCAGGCTCTGATCCCGCCGGAGCTGGCATCGGCTTTCAAAATCTCGCCGGAGCCTACTCGAACCATGCTCGATGTCAACCGAGCTTCTAAGAACACCATGTCCTCCCTCTGCGGCGGCGTTTCCCAACCTTCCTCCACCTTTAAGCCGTTTTTAAACAATCATAATCATCAAAATGCGTCCTCCGTGCCGGACCACGTTATGGAGGAGCCAGAGGTGGAAGACGCGTACCCAACCCAAGAAGGATCTGACCCGAAGAAATTCAGGAGGATGGAGCCTGAGGAGGTTGACTCTGTTACTCAAACCGCCGCCACCGATAACTGTACGGACGACCAGTCGGCGGCGGCGAAGACTCTGAAGAGGCCGAGGCTTGTTTGGACCCCGCAGCTCCATAAACGTTTCGTGGATGTTGTGGCGCACTTGGGATTGAAGAACGCGGTACCGAAGACGATTATGCAGCTTATGAACGTAGAGGGGCTGACTCGGGAAAACGTGGCAAGTCATTTGCAGAAGTATAGGCTGTATGTCAAGAGGATGCAGGGGTTGTCGAACGAGGGACCGTCAGCATCGGATCATTTGTTCGCTTCAACACCAGTGCCGCCACAGAGCTTTAATGATTCATTCAGTTGTGGCGGGCATGGGAATGTGGATGTGAATGTGAATGGGAGTCGTGGTGGTGGGAACAGTGAGAATCATGTTGGGATGCCTATTCCGATGCCATATCCATCTCTACAGCAACTTATGCCCATGCCAATGATGGTAATGGCAGCACACGGACAAGGACATGGACATGGGCAAGGACATGTAGGAATGCCAGTGGGAAATATGAATTCCGCAGCTGGAAACAATGGTTACGAGGCTCATTCTCGTCATAATCATTATCCGCAACAGTATAATAGTATGATACAGCAACAGAGGGACTGGTCTGGAAATAAGTACAATGGTTACCTGCACCATGCTACTCCAAATGATAAATAAATCTTTTCTGAGTCCACATTGGATAGTGGAAAAATAGGTGAGCAATTTTCATACTGATGAACTTTCTTGTTTACCATAAATGTTTTAACTCTTGCAGTGACTGTTTATGATTTTACTTTGCTGATATTGGATTGGAAATACAGGGACTGATACTGGATTCAATACATTGGAAATGTGACTTGATGAACTACAGCTAGGCCTTTTTGTCAGAATTACTTGTTTCTGATTTGCAGTTCTAGATGAATGTTTTGTTTATCTAATATAATTCTTTTGCAAATGTTTAGAATTACCTCAGAAATACTGTTCTCTTTCAATTGAAAGATATAAACATTATTATTTAGACTTGTCAGCCCAATGGAAGAGCCACAATTAACATAAAATAGCTATGTGGTAATGGAAAGATTCATTCTTTCGTTAGTAGTGGAAAACAAGGAAATGTAATCATCTGTTTTTGTCAAATCCGAAAAATCCTATCAACAGAGCATAAAGGAGAGGAGGAAAGCGCAAAAAAAAAAAAAAAAGAATTAAACCTGACAATTAGAAATAAACGGTTTCTGTTGTTGAGTTATGTAGTGGTTGATGTAATCAAGTTTATGGACGTCTTTACCTGATTCGGTGTATCTTTATATCCTTAAATCTTCAAGAAACCGATTGCCTTATGAAATACTTATCAATGCTTGATTTTTTTGTGGTGTGAACAAATTATCTTATTTTTTCTTCGTTCAGGATGTGCTCTAATTTATTGACAAACACATTACTCTTTCTTTCATGGTATAATTAGGTTTTAGGGTTTGTTTTATTAGCCATGATATGGCTTGTTGAAATTCAATCTTTGTTATCATCTGATCTACTTATGTCTGCATGATATTAAATCCCATTAGATGTTAGATGTTTTAGGATAGGGTTGTAACATTGCGCAGAATAGGACACATAAAAATGAATTTTGATTGTCTATGGCCTCAAAAGTGAGCTTAAACGTTTTTCATGTTCATTGCATAATTACCAAAGTCCATTCCCAGATAGATGATACTTGTATTTGACTAATCTGTTATTGCTCTTTCATCACAGTGGTGCTAATATTTAACCTGCGTATTATTCTATTTTTTGTTGGAAAGTAAGACAAAAGAAAATTCTACATATCAGTTACATCAGTATCAACAACTTACAATTTGGTGTGACTTTTAATTTTCTAGGGCACTGTTTTGTAGACAGCATCAATTTTGCATTTTTTTCAAGTATATAACGGTAGACTCATCAATGTCTGGTCCAAGGTATGATCATCTCCGAAAAGTTTCCTGCATTTACTCAGATGTCACTTCAAGTATGAATACAAATTGTTGTTTACCTTTAGGCTTTGTTTGGATAACAAGCCTATTAATTCATATTGGGTATTTCAATAGCTAATGGCATATCTAGTATTGCATGGTTTATAATTTGTGATATGGTTTTTGTCATTATAGATTAGAAAATCATTATCAGCAATATAAACAGTTGACTAGTTAATTCTTATTCAACCTATGTTCATGAGGCTGATATTAACTAATTTCAAATATTTTTGTAAATCGATCATTTCCTTTAAAGTCTTTAAATCACCCATCATATAAGCATTTTATATGATTATGTTTTCTTTTGTTAGAATGACCAATTATCTTACAATTGATCAAACCACAAATTAACCAGATCTTGAGATGTATACCATTAATGAAATGTCATAACTGAATGGAATTAAATGCCCATGAAGTTGCCTTTAAGTTAAGCATCCAAACATGGTGTAAAGAGTACATGTATTTCTAATCCATATTGCGATCGTCTCAATGGGGCCTTCTGGTAACATGTTCCTCTTCCTTGAATATAGTAGCCGCATTTACTAAATATTTATCCTGGTTCTGGTTATTCTGTTTTACCAATGTTTTTTCATTTGAAATTGTGCTTTCTTTCTGCCTCCTTTAGTTTAAAATTGTGTCGATTCACATGTTAGATCTGTTTTTATCCTATAACATGCACTATGCTTATAAAAGCTGAATATTTATTTCTCTTTATGAGTATACTGTTTTTAATTTTCTTCTCTCCCTTGACACTCATTCCATTATCATAAAATTACTAAGAGCCTATTTGAGCCCCATTTTTCTATTAAGAATGCATTTTGGAATAGTAGATTGAAGGAGAATGTATGGTTACAAAATATGGAAGAGTTTTTCGTTTGCGTGTAATATTATTTTATTGAAGAATATGTGGTTGAGAAGAAGAGAGAAAAAAATGTATTTTGAAAAGAACGAGGATCAAACAAGGGTTAAGACTTTTCAAGAAGCCTCTTGTTTGGTGGGATCATGGACAGGATCCAGATTTCTTGAGATCTGCAAAATACATGTGGTCCAATCGATTGTATTAGAAATATCCACTAAATTTAATAGAGATCAATCAGTTGACGAGTAGAAAATTTTCAATGTCCAAGAGTTCCAAACAACTCATCCATCTTGATGTAAAGCATCTTACTTCACGAGCTTCACAAGTTTTGGGATTTTATCATATGAACTGTGGAAATTTCAGATTCCTTTGGCAGCTTATAAATGTTCCGAGTCTAAAATATAAAACCTTAATGTAACTGAAAGAGCAAAAGTGAGTTAATTATTGGAAAAAGTGGTTGTTTTGAGAAATTAAATATTTTGCTAGTTCGAGATCTCTTTTAGATGCAAATTTGGATATCTTTCTTACGTAACTGTTCTTTCTTCTTATTAAAGAGTAGGACCCATGAACCACAACTCCTAAGAAGCTTGATTTGCTGCTCTGGATCTGTTGGGTGTTCACTGGGACTTAAAAGAAACCATTGAAGACACTTTTGAGGTATTGCAGAAGTACTTTGAGATTGTACCTGAATTGGATGCCTAAAAGACAATCGGTTCACAAGGTATTAAAGTGGAAGTTCTTACTCAAATAAATCCCGCCTGCTTGCTGTCAATTGCTAGTATATATCTAGCCTGTAAGTTTCTTTGTTGATGAAATTATACATTATATAAATTACTCCCCTTGCATATTTTCAAGCTACCCTTCTCTTTTAGCTAGTGTCATTGCTTCTTTGTGCCACTAATTTATTGAGATACGATAAGTTCCCATTGTGATTGCTGAAACTTAGTTATTATTGCTCTTTGTATTATGCATCTCACCCTGATTTATTGAGAACAGGACTTATACAAACATTTTCATGCTAGTTGTCAGTGTTTTGTGTCTTATTCGATTGGTAGTTTTTGCATTTGCTTCTGGTACATTTCGTTTATCCAACAGTAATATCTATTGCATTGTACTACTTAATTGAGCAAGCGACTATGTGCTTTCGATCACTTTAAGAAAATCTAGGTTGGGCACTTGTTCGATCAAGTATAGCAAGACATAACTTCTATTGTTCACGATCCTGAACATGGATTGGCACTTTGCTTTAACAAGGTCGTGATGTTGACTATTTCATCCGTTGAGTGATTTTTCTAAATCGCATGATAGTGTTTTTTTTATTTCAGTTGTGGCACTAGTGCGCTGCAAATGCACTGGTCTGGAAGTATGTATTAGAATGGGCCACTTACCCAAATGACCTGAATTTTGTGGTGGATTTGAAAACTCATACAAAATTGGGTTAAATGGTAAATAGTTAATTTTGTATGTATTTTTTACGCTCAAATATAAATTAACAGTAGTTTCCAAAATTTCAACACTGCCGTATGCCAAGCTCGAGAAATCAAGAAAAATCGAAGGAAAAAAGGGAAATATTTCACAAATAAAGCACAAACAAGATCAAGGGTTGCTTCAACCACCTATTCTTCAAAGTTTTTTTTCCCAATTTTAAAAATAAATAAATAAATAAAATTACAGGTTTATATGTTTTGAAATTTTTGTTCCATTAGTTCTCCGATTCTGTCATTTTAAGATCTTTTAATACTCTTTTTGCATGGAATGTGAAAGAAACAATCATTATTAGCAATTTTGAGGGGAATAAACTTCCGCTTTAATTGTGGGTCATTTATGGTTAGAAAGCTGGAGTCTGGAGATATATCCAGATGTATAATTAATGCAAAGGCCAACGAGATTTAGTTTATAATGTTTGCTTCGAACACGAACTGGATTCTGTTTTGCTATAAAAAAATGATATTCTTTTCCCCCCTTCGGATTGTACCTATCAAGAGCAAATACTAAGATAGAAATATACTGCCTCTCTCTCTCTCTCTCTTTTTGGCTGATGTGCTAAAAAAAAATGAAGACAACTCGATTGAATTTTTCTTTGTGCTCATTGTTTAAGTGCTGTTATGACTAGATGTTTGAAAATAGTGGGGTTTACAATTAAGATTGTAGAAATGGTGGAAGCAGTGGCCTCTAGGTTGGTATGGGGGTGTAAGCGGTTCGATTTTTGACAAATTTTCAAACCAAATTATTTAAACCGGTTTGAGAAAAATTCAAATCTAAACCAAACTATTTTGAACGGTTTGAAAAAAACTCAAACCTAAATTTAACGGTTTGGTTCGGTATTAAACCATCGGTTTTGGCATATACTTTTTTGCTTGTCTACTTTTATGTCATTAATTTATTGAATCCAATATATATTTGTATTTTACTAGCAATAAATCTAAAACAAACAAAGTCTCTGTTTAAACAAAAATTTTGGGACAAAAAAAAAATGAAATTTTGAATAGTTATCCTACAAGTCCAGCCGCCTTTATTGACATATCATTTCATGTGTGGAACTCAATCTCCTCTCCAATGATCAATTTTCTTATTATGATAATATGGAAAATATGGCTCAAACAAAGGGCTAAATATATCTAATATAAATTTAAATATCGACTAAATCAAAGTGAAATCACAACAAACTAAAACATAGTTTTTTTAATTTTTGTTCACCTTTTTTAGGCTAATGACGATACAATAACGCTGCAATACAAGTCTACTAAACTAGATATAAGGCCCAAAAAATATAGTGATGTCTAGTAAGATCTCGTGATCATCATATCTGAAAAAATGATTTTGATTAGAGAAAGAGACCAACCACAATAATAAAGCAATTGTTTATAATATCTAACATAACAATTACTCAAGTTTACATTTGTATGATGTTACAAAACGCATTTAATTTTAGATTCTTACCTTAGTTTGCTCAAAAAAATTATTGATCTGAAACTTTATTTGTAACAAATATTATCACCGAAGGTCTAGAATCTATTTGTCTCCGATTTGGTATAATGAACTTCAATTCAACTTTGAAGAGGTATGAAAAATCTGAAAAATAAATGTGTGGTGTTGGTGGCTCAAGACTGTGTTGGGTGTTGGCTGGAGTTTATCTAAATTCTGGAGAAGAAAATGACTTTTGATAAATTATGTTAGTATTGAGATTATTAGATATAAATTAGGATTATTGGATAATAATAATATATATATATATATTAAAAAATTAGAAATTGACAAAAATATTCACAAATGACAAAACTATTGAATATTATATATTTGGATGAGTTTTCCAAAAAAAAAAAAAAATCAATTTTTTTTATTTTTATATATTTTTTCGCTGGTCCGATTTGGTTTTAAACTGCAATTAAAATTCTCAAACCTAAACCAAACAATTTTGACCGATTTGGTTTGGTTCAAAACCATTTCGTTAACCGGGTCCACGTGACACCAACTCGATGATTTCTAAAATACGGTTTCGATTGGCAATTTTTGCTTACAATCCTAAATTGGGGCGGCTCCTGCTATTCAATTGATACATTCAAGGTGTTTGCAAAAATGAGAATGTGAAAAAGTGATATTTCGTCACTTTTCTCTGAAAAAGTCGCAGATCTCATTAGAGCAATTAACTAGATATATATGTGTGTGATTTTGGAAATTTAAATATACGAATTCAAACATTGTTTTAATCTTGCATTCAATTTATATTTCTTTGAATAAATTCAATTGATTCATTCAAGATATTTGTGAAAATGAAATGTGAAAAAGTCACATTTTATCACTTTTCTCAAAAATTTACAGTATCTCATTAGAGCAATTAACTAGATATATTCATGTGTGTTTTTGAAAATTTAATACACGAATTCAAACCTTGGTTTAATCTTACATTCAATTCATAATTCTTCGAATAAATTCGATTGATGCATCCAATGTGTTAATAATAATGAGAAAAAGTGAAATTCTCTGAAAAAGTTGCAATGTCTCATTGAAACAATTAACTAGATGTGTACGAGTGTATTTTAAAAAAAAATTAAGCTCCCGTTTGACCCCCATTAAATTATATTTTTTCTTTCTCATATTTTCAATCACAGAATCTTTCTTAAAATAATATTACACGTAATTCGAAAATTTATCGTTCTTTCTCAACCACTCATTCTTCAAAAAAATAAAAATAAAAAAAATTAAAAAAATTCCACCATTTTCATCTCAAAAAATGGGGGCCAAATGGGGCTTTAATATACAAATTCAAACATTGTTTTAATCTTGAAATCAATTTATATTTTTTTGAATCAATTCAATTGATACATCTAAAATGTTTGTGAGAATGAGAGAAAAGTGACACTGCCTCATTGTAGCAATTAACTAGATATGTACGCGTGTGTTTTGGAAATTTAAGTTTATGAATTCAAACATTATTTAAATTTTGCATTCAATTCACGTTTCTTTGAATCAATTTAATTGATACATCCATGGTATTTACGAAGATGGGAATGTGAAACTTTTCACTAAAAAAATCATAGCATCTCATTGGAACAATTAACTAGATGTATAAGTGTGTGTTTTGGGAAATTAATTTAGATATATGAATTCAAACCTTTTTAATCTTACATTCAATCCATATTCTTTGAATCATTTCAATTGATGCATTCAATGTGTTTACGAGAATAAGAATATGAAAAGTGAGATTTTGTCATTTTTCTTTGAAAAGTCGCAGCATCTTATCGGCGCAATGTGCATTTTTAAAAATTTAAATATACGAATTCAAATCTTGTTTTAATTTTGCATTCAATTCATATTTCTTCGAATTAATTTAATTGATTTATCCAATGTGATTTGGAAATTTGAATATACGAATTCAAAAATTTGTTTAATCTTGCATTCAATTCATATTTTTTTGAATCAATTCAATTTATGCATACAAGATATTTGCAAGAATAAGAATATAAAAAAGTGACATTCTGTTAGACACTCATTACTTTTCTATTAAAAAAAAAAACACAATGTCTCATTAGAGTAACTAATTAGATGCATATGTGTGTATTTTTTAAAATTTAAATTTACGAATTCAAGTCTTAATTTAATATTGCATTCAATTCATATTTTTGAATCAATTCAATTGATACATCCAAGGTGTTTGCAAGAATGAGAATATGAAAAAGCGAAATTTTGTCACTTTTCTATAAAAAGTCATAGTATCTTATCGGAACAATTAAGTAGATGCATACATGAGTGTTTTAAAAAATTTAAATATACGAATTCAATTCTTGTTTTGATTCTTGCATTCAATTCATATTTCTTTGAATTAATTCAAATGATTTATTCAGTGTGATTTGGAAATTTAAATATGCGAATTCAAATTTTGTTTTAGTCTTGATGTAGAATGTATTGTTTTCCAAATTGCTTAGACTTGATTCATGTTTTCCAAACATTCTTACCCCCCATTTGGCTCCCATTATTTCAATTTATAATTTCTAGAATAGTATTTTTTTTTGGGAGAATTTTTTTTCGATTTACATATAATATTATTTTATAAATGATTATATGATTGAAAATAAGAGAGAATAATTAAATTTGAAATAATAGTGGCTAAACAGGATCTTAACAAACTTTGTATTTGTGCTTTGATTAGTCCATCAAGGCATTGCCACTGGCAAAGCTGACAAGAAGTGAAAATTTCAAAAAAGTGACAAATCATAATGTTACGCCTCATTTTACGAGTCTCGGTACCGAAGTAACCGAAGTGTCATCCCGCCACTCCGAAGTCGGTGAAATCAAATAGATCACTCCGACCTCCCGAAGCTTCTCCAAAGTGATACACCGATTCTGTCACTAATCTGCCGAAGTGTCCCGCCTCTGAGGTCGGGTTCAAGTGGACCCCCGTTAGAAGATTCGCTGCCAATTTAAGATTTGCTCTTCATATAAGGTTTAAATTGATTTGACGTCCCCCATAAAGCTATTTGATGTGACTTATCAACTTTATGTCAATTCAACTCGGGGGAAATA